CTAATATAATGGCTTCTACCTAACATACAACTGATGAAGATCAACAGAAATTATGTTATGTGTCCAACTATTCCCATGCTCCAGGATTCCTGAACACTCTTTGCCTGTGACCTGATCACAGCCTGGGTGAAGTATTCTTTTATATTTATTTTTCAATTCCCATTTAGATTTCAGCTGTTTAAATTAAATAGTTTTATTTGACAGAGCATCAGGATGAAAACAGGTAATATCTCAGACTGCTCTTACACACAAACATAGGAACCAGGTACTCAATGCTAGAGGCAGGAGAGGTGTGAGACTGCAGCGGCATCAATAGCAGCAAGACTGGGCAGCAGATCATGCTCAGGCATAATCTTGACTCCAGTCACAGGAATGTCATGCAATAATCATAGTGACTGACTACAGTTTTCATATTTCTCTTTTCACATTTTGTTTATCATCTTTCCAGTCCAGTGCTCGCTCTCTCTCTCTCTCTCTCCCTCTCTCTCTCTCTCTCTCTCCTCTCTCTGTTACACAGACACACACACACGTGTGCAGAGATACACACAAGCCCTTGTAGCTGTTCATTCATTAAATGGATGCACAGAGAAAATGTAACCAGAAATGCTCACTTTCAAGATGCAGAAACATCATGAAAACTGACATTGAGTTCTACGGTTTTCAACTGGTTTTATAGTTTGACAATGGAGTAATACACCAATATTTCGATGAATTAATTATTTACAGGAAATCAAGGTGAACATTCATTGTTTTATTACAGCCTGGCAAACAAATGAGAACAAATGCTCAATAAATCCAACCCTGAATAAACTATGTGCAAACAAATTAGGATGAATACTCAACAAATAGGTCATCTGGAGGTGTTCCAAGTAGTTTTTGAGTCTGTTGGTGAACAAGTATGTATTTTCAATCATTTAGGCTCTTTTATCAGACAATTCTTAAGTTTGATAGTGAGCACTCACACTTTACATTGTGGGAGCCCTTTACAGGTTTGCGCGCGGTGCTACAGTTCCCAGGGAACTTACTGGCAAACAAGGACTGGCCTGCCTCTCAGTGTTAATCTTTGGAGGTTCATGCCCAGCTTCTGTAGTCAAGTTTCATTGCTGGGAGGTGGAGCCGACAGTATCCAGGCAGTCGGCTTAGGAGATTCACCCTCTCTACCCTCCCTTAGTTTAATGTTCTCTTGTTTGCAGGTTAACTTTTTCTTCCTGTTTAGCGGGCGCTGCTACGGTCTTTGACTGGTTGCTGTTGAAGGACCGGGAAGAAATTTTCCTGCATTGGCAGGTTTCGTCTTCCCTGTAGCAGTTCATCACAACTTTGGCGGTTATGGCCTTGGGTGTAATCCTTTAGTCTTTTCTTCCCTGTATGGGGGGAGGGCGTGAAGTGGTGATTCACTCCCCCCTGCAGCGGCAATTCCAGGGTCTCCTCTTAAAGGGGTTATATATAATGGGTGTCACTGGCCACTGAAAGGTTGTCAGTAAACTACCCTGCATGCGGGAATATGGGCTGGGCTGCCTGCTACACTTATGTCTCGCAGAGCACCCCCATATCCCATTTACCCTGATGAGCCCCAGCTCCCCCTGGCTGGGGGGTTGGGAGGGATACACGCCCACAGCCTAAGCCAAGGTCTTCCTACATTCAGAAGTTTAATAAAGTTGTAGCCTAATTGTAATTCCATATAACATCATCAGAGTCTTTATTCTTTCCTTATGGTCCCTGGGGGCTGGGGCTGTCACTGCCTGGTCACACAATTGGCAGAACTTCACCCTCTCTTTTATTTCATACTGCATTATATTTGTTGCCAACTGCTTGCCAATGAGATCAATTCTGCATGATATTAGAAATTAAGATGCGTCTAAATGTGCATATGGATTTGTGTGTCTAGAAACTGGTGAGCTCTTACATGCTGCTGTATTGTTTAATACAGAACTTGCACAGATGAGCTATGTAAGCTCCTTTATTGAAATTATCCATACAAACATACTATTTACTTTAGTTGCTGCCAGCATAGAAATTGAAGCAGCTGATGCATAGCATTCACATAAGTTTTGCCTCACCCATGAACTTGAAAGCAGCCCTTTATCTGTTCTGTTGACTAATGTATGTGAGCTATATTTGGTAGAAATATCCCTGAGAAACCAATGAGTTACACAATTTATTGGTGAAACTAACACTGAAAGCAAAGAACATTGAGAATTTTCCACAAATCCCATCCTCAAATGTAAACATCAATTTATTTGGATTGTTGTCTTTGGCCTTTAACTGCACATAATGTTAAAGGACTGAATGCAATTGAAATGCAGTGTTTCTTTTGTAAAATAAATGACATGAAATCACCCTCAATAGGTGCTGAGTAGAAACAGGGAGACTTTTCTCTTCTAATGTGATCCCACCTGCAAAGTTTCTATGCTTTGACAGGAATACAGTCTTAGCAAATAATTACATGTTGTGCTCATTTGAATGTCAACTTCATAATATAGAAGAATTGTTTATTTAACCTATATATAATGTGGTTTGCTCAGCTGAGTTAAAGAAACTCCTGCATCAGTTCTACAAGTGCAAAGCTTTATTAACACTGCCTGATGTTATTTAGATACACCTCAACATGAAACGAGAAGAAGGAAATCAGACAGCCCCTGTGGCATTTATTCTCCTGGACTTCAATAGTGATGATGTACCGATACTACTTTTCATACTGTTTCTACCAATCTACCTTGCAACCATGGCTGGAAACATCCTCATTATTATTCTAGTGATTCTTGATCAGCATCTTCACACACCCATGTATTTCTTCCTGGGAAACCTGTCATGCCTGGAGACTTGTTACAGCTCAACTGTCATGCCGAGGATGCTGGTCAGTTTTCTGTCTGGGGACAGATCCATTTCTGTTCATGGATGCTTTGCACAGTTATATTTCTTTGGGCTTCTTGCAACTACAGAATGCTACTTTCTAGCAGTGATGTCTTACGATCGTTACTTAGCAATATGTAAGCCATTGCATTATGCAATACTCATGAATGGAAGAATTTGCTTTCTGCTGATTGCTGGATCATGGATCAGTGGGTCACTACCTATCAATGTCATGATATTCTTGGTATCTCACCTGAGTTTCTGTGGGGCCAACAAAATAAACCATTTCTTCTGTGATTTCACCCCATTGATAAGACTTTCCTGCGATGACACCAAAGTGGCTGAAATGACAGCCTTCATTTTCTCCTCCATAGGCACTCTGCCCCCTCTTTTAATAACCATGGCATCTTATGTTTGTATTATCAAGAGCATTTTAAGGATCCCATCCACCACTGGGAAACAAAAAGCATTCTCTACATGCTCCTCTCACTTGACTGTGGTTGCTTGCTTCTATGGCTCCCTGATGATAGTCTATGTATTACCAAACAAGAGTTATCTGAGTGAGTTGAAGAAAGTATTCTCTCTGTTCTATACTTTGCTCACCCCACTGGTCAACCCCCTTGTATACAGTTTGAGGAACAAAGAAGTGAAGGAAGCAATAAAGAATACTTTATTTAAGATGATTCATAGAATTCATTAAGATTGAGGAACATAGATTAACATAGATTTAACTATTTCAATGTTTTTCATTGTCTTCTATTATATCCGCATGATGTATTTAGTTGAAATCTTAATCAGGTAGGCATCTTTTGCATATGCTTTTTCTCATTTCTCATTTTTCTCACTGCACTGCAAAATCTAGAGAAGCATGTGAGTTGTATTCTTATCCACAATCACATTTGGAAACACAAAATATTTTCATTGTGAAGAGCAGACCAATCAATTTTTTCATCCTTTGAAGGGAAGTTTTCTTTCTGCAGTTTCTCTTACTGCACATAACTGTGGCATTGTGGGAAAGTCTTGCTTTTAGCACTATTGCTTCTTCTCTTACATTCTGGGAAGTTTTTGCCTCTGCACATAAGTCTGAGAATGTTCTGAACAGTTCCCATTGAGTTCATGAAACAGTGTATCCTGACCTGTTCTTAATGCATTGCTGACCACATCTACGGAACGTGATTGTTGTATTCCTTCATGTTATGTTCTCTCAATATCAATCTTTAGTTATAATTTAATTAGGAGGTTTCATGCCTGTCTAGTTCCAGCTCCATTCCCAGTCTTTAATCTATCAGTGATTGATGTTATATGTAATTCCCGCCTTGTACCTATGTTAACCAATCAGCAACAAGATGCTTTGTGTTTGTATCAACCAATCAGCCACAAGCACACCTGTGGCAATGTTTGTAATATTCAATAAAAGAGAGTTCCCGGGGCTTGCCCCGGAAGACGCCTCTCCTTTGACACCTACCACTCGTCTGTCGTGATTTCAACCCAACATCTGGTGACCCCTGACGTGCCAGATCCCTTACGCAGCCAAACCTCATACTTCACCCAACTGGAAACATCTCAGCGCGCTACTTCGTGAGTATGGGAGGGGAATTGACTAAATTCCAGAAAGAGCATGCTAAAGAATTGCTTTATTTAGTTAGACAGCGGGAGGTGGGTGTTAATATTTCCTTAAAAGAAATTGAACAATTGCTATGTGAGATCGCTTTAGAATGTCCCTTTTATCCAGAGGCTGGTTCTTTGGATGTAGAGACTTGGCAAAAGATCGGCAAGACCCTTTTTGCAGAACCTAGGGCTCCGATTCATTGTCTGCTCACTTGGCAGAAATGTGCAGATGCCGTTGCTAAATTACCACAGGCGTCTCGCTCGGCCCCAGCACTCCTAGCCATCGCAGACGAGCCCCCACCTTACCCGAAACTTTTACCTCCTTCTCCTTTGCAGCCCAGCCAATCCCTCCCTGCGTCTCTCCCTCCTCAGCCTGCATCCTCCCCCCCATCCCTCCACCTCAGCCTGATTCCTCCCCCCCCATCCCTTCTCCGTCTGCCACAGCCCCTGTTTGCTCTATAGGAGCTGTGCGCGCTGCGCTCTCTTTGGCAAGGCAGAAAGGGCTCCTGTCCTTAGAGGAGGAGTCTGAGTGGCCAGGTGAAATGCCGTCTGCTTTCCCTATCACCTATTCAAACCCTGGAACTGCTCAACAGCAGATTTTTTATGAATCGCTTCCTTATTCTGTAATGAGGGAATTAAGGAAAGCCATTGCTGATTCTGGTCTGAAATCCTCTTATGTGACGGGAATGCTTGAAGGCATAGCAACTGGTTACATTATGCTACCTCAGGACTGGAAAGACCTGATGCGCACGCTTTTGTCCCCTGCTCAGTATGTGGTGTTTGAGAGTGAATTTAAACATAGCGCTTCAGCCCTGTCTGATCCGCAACATACTGCCAATGAACTTTATGGTGCTGGTCAGTTTGCTGATATAACTGCCCAAGCAACACTGACACCTGTACATTTTGTTCGCACCGCGACCTGTGTACAACGCGCCTTCGGAAAGTCCCTGTTTCTGGGCAACCGCTGAGCTCCTTTGTAAATATTAAGCAACAGCATTCGGAGCCATACCATCAGTTTATAGATAGATTGAAAGAATCAGTCACTAGGCAGATTGATAACACCACTGCTCAAAATGAATTGATGAAAAAATTGGCCTTTGAAAACGCAAACACTGATTGCAAGAAAGCTTTGCAGTCAATCATACATCGCCCTAAATATGACCTGGCCGATATGATTCAAGCTTGTGCGGATGTCGGTAGCCAGAGCCATGCGATGTCTTTGCTTGCCGGCGCAATCCAAGCAACCACTAGGCCTACTGGTAACTGCTTTAATTGCAAGCGCCCAGGCCATTTTGCCAAGCAATGCAGAGCCCCTGGCGGGGGGGCACACAAGGATGGTACTACCTCTAAGGCTAAACCTTCTAAAAAGTGCCCGAAATGTGGCAAAGGCTATCATTGGGCTAATCAATGCAGGAGTTCGGGAAACTCCATTCCGGCCCCACTCTCGGGCCAGGACAATTAGAGAGATTTCCACCTTTAATTTCTGCTGCTGCAAACTTTTCAAACAACACACCCTCTGAATTTGCCATTGATTTGATCAATCAGGAGACCAAAGACTCTGTTTTACCTGGTGAAATTGTGCTTATGCCCACTCAATTGGCAGGCCCCCTGCCTCCTAAAGTCACAGGTTTAATTTTACCCAAATTTTCTGCGGCAAAGGAAGGAATCCAGGTTATTCCTGGGGTTCTGGATCCTGACTATGTAGGCACAATAATGGTTCAACTCTGGAGCCATATGCCCATGCAATTAAAAAGGGTGAGTCTTGGGCGCATTTGGTGGTGCTCCTTCTCATCCTACTGCTTCTATTATGGATACTAATTTGCACGAGCTCTCTTCTTTCCCTCCACAGCTGTTAGCTGTAGTCCAGAGGATTGGTGAGAAGAAACTTCTTCGTAAGTATAAAATCAATGGTATTGTGCTGGAAGGCTTGATTGACACAGGCGCAGACGTTTCTGTAATTTCTAGTAGTTGCTGGGACCCCACGTGGCCCCTTGAGTCTGCCTCTGCAGTCTGGGGTGTGGATGGCCCCAAACCTCTTCCAAAAGCGTACAGTGGCTGCCTGTTTCTCTGCCTGATAGCTCTGAAACCATTGCTTACATCCAGCCCTGTGTGCTGAAAATCCACCTCAATCTGTGGGGAAGAGACTTACTACAACAATTACAAGCTACCATTCAATTTAATGAGTAAGCTTGCACTTCCCCTCAACTGGAAATCTTCTGGTCGTGTCCTGGCTATATGTTTAATTACATTCCAGCAAACATCAGCCATGGCACACCTTGCTGTTTACGCTGTTTGTCCATCATTTTACCCAAGAAGCATCATTTATCCCACTCTCGATATCACTGCAATATTGAATTGACTAACGATTGTGATGCTTTTGTCTCTTTTCTCAGTAGGTCTGAATATATCTCTTTAGTTGTTTCTCTCTTAGGAGTCCGTGGATTGGCTGTACGGAATCGTATGAACATTAATTCTTTAGCAAAAAAGCCCTGAATTTTACTTCACAAGCTCTTCACCTTTTGAATAAAGAACAGAGTGAACTATATAATGGACTTTTACGAAATCGTGCTGCTATCACTATTTGCTGATGCTTCATCATTATGGCTGTGAACAAGTGAATGACATGTGTTGTTTCAATATTACTGACAATTCAAGAGCCATTCAAAGCCAAATCTCTCATTTGCAAAATCTTACACATCACATTAAACAGGACGTTGGATTTTCTGGCCTCTGGGATTCTTTCACCCAGTGGCTTACTGCTTGGCTGCCTAACTTTATTTGGCTTCGTAGTCTCTTTCAATATGCTATTTTCATAATTTGTATTCTTATTTTACTATGCTGTATCCTTCAATGCGTTCCTAGCCTCATGAGTCTTTTCTCTCGGCTTCTCTCTCCCCCTCAACCACCCAGTAAACTCCTTGCTGCTTACATTGCGAAATGGCAACACCAACAGTAAACCTTAGGGGAGATGTGGGCGGATTTATTTTGGGCATGCGCTGGCAAACCACGTATCCTGAAGTATTTTTGTCCCATCGACCCTGGCAAGCTTATTTCGGGCATTCGCTGGCACACCACTAATCCCGAAGTATTTTTGCCTTATCCACCTGGAACGCCTCGCAAACAAGAAAAGAAAGGGGGAGATGAAGGGAAGTTTTCTTTCTGCAGTTTCTCTTACTGCACATAACTGTGGCATTGTGGGAAAGTCTTGCTTTTAGCACTATTGCTTCTTCTCTTACATTCTGGGAAGTTTTTGCTTCTGCACATAGAGTCTGAGAATGTTCTGAACAGTTCCCATTGAGTTCATGAAACAGTGTATCCTGACCTGTTCTTAATGCATTGCTGACCACATCTACGGAACGTGATTGTTGTATTCCTTCATGTTATGTTCTCTCAATATCAATCTTTAGTTATAATTTAATTAGGAGGTTTCATGCCTGTCTAGTTCCAGCTCCGTTCCCAGTCTTTAATCTATCAGTGATTGATGTTATATGTAATTCCCGCCTTGTACCTATGTTAACCAATCAGCAACAAGATGCTTTGTGTTTGTATCAACCAATCAGCCACAAGCACACCTGTGGCAATGTTTGTAATATTCAATAAAAGAGAGTTCCCGGGGCTTGCCCCGGAAGACGCCTCTCCTTTGACACCTACCACTCGTCTGTCGTGATTTCAACCCAACAATCCTTCCCTATTCTGAATTCTGAAGTAAGCCTCAACTGACAGTAGGACTCAAATCCTCTCATATGCCAGCCACTAGTATGACTTTCACAATTTCTCCTTCAAGCCCACTCCTTATTGAGGAGACAGTAAAGCCATTTCTGGACTATGCCAGCCTAAGCAGCAGGAGCAGTCGCAAATGACACAATGTTCAATAATACAATATAAATTCCATGCACACAGAAAACTGGGCTGTCAAGCAGAATAGTGAGATGTTAACCTATGCTGAAATTAATGTGCACTAGACTGAAAGTTTAACTCATTCTTTTCTGAGTTGGGATGAATAAAAGGGAGTGAAAATTGTTCTGAAACTTCAACACAAGCATTTGTTTTGGTTGTTTTTGCCAACACTTGTTTCTTGATACCAGATTCCCTCCCACTAGGAGTCCCCTCAAAGCAATGCCCATCATTATATAGAATCATTCTATGGAAAAGCACCAGTCATTAGTTCTGTGAGGAAAAACATCACCCCAAAAATATATGAAATGGGTGTTCCAGTTTTGCCACGTACAAATGTGGAAACTAATTGGGGTGGATATGTTTAGGCTCTTAATTATATGTTTCTACTTGACATGCTAAATTTCTGTGATCAGAGAATGTATTTCTATAGATAAACTTATTTATTAATAATGTTTATATACAACCCTTCATGAATAAAGAAAGCAGGTGGGATCTGGAATGCTTACATGTGAGCCCAGACTTGAAGTTTGGGGTAAACAGTCTAAAAATAGATTTACCATTTCATTTTATATTTCTGTGAGAACTAGGTGTAAGTTATATTATGATAAGATCAGTTCTCCTGGCTGAAGGACTGCCATTTCAAACATGTGAGAGAAATAATGAGATGATATCTGTTCATTCTTTCATTCTCCATGTTTATGCTCTGCCTCTCTCTCCCACCTGACCAGTGGTCTCCCTTGGGTGGAAACTTCATTTGCAGTCAACAATGGTTCTTGGGGGCTTTTGTGTTCTGCTTAGCTTTTCCCACTGAGAATAAAAGAATGATGTAATTAACCTGGAATATGAGAAAGAATGTGTCTGTGAGACTGTGCAGATACAAATATAAATACAAATTAATATATTCAGTGTTTCAGAGCCTTCTTCTTTATAGTATAAACAGATCAATGATGTTACCTGGCCTTTCAAACATCATGAAACAAAGAACTTTCTAGAAATGGATGTGAAAACGTGTTGCCCTCAGCAGCAGGTACACTGAGATTTTGGGGGAAATTGCTTTAGGTAACCCCCCCCCCCAATTTTCACATTCATTCCAGGAATTTTTGATTCATTTAGGATCTTGTTGATAATTCTTCAATGGGAACAATCCTTAATGAGAAGAAAAGCAAGTTTTCCCGATAGCAAGCTCACCATTATTACAGATTACCTTGCAATGCACCCAGTTCTCTCCCATTATTCGCAGGGTTTCACAATTTTTAATTTTATTCAATTAGATTTTCCACTGCTTATAAGAGGGAGAATTTTGCAAATTTTATACCATACAACATTGTTCAAAATATGGATATCAGACATGAATATTTATTTTTTTGACTAATTTTTAAGGATCTCTGACTCAGTATGTTATCTTTTGCTTATAGAAAACATGACTCTCTTTCTAGAGCCAATATAAAATAATTTATTTTTATCCCACACTTTTAAGTGCAGTTCCTCCTATTGTGGATTTGTAGGGAAGCAGATCTGTTGCACAACCAATTTTCTTTTTCACTTTTGCACCCTTAATTTGCCTGTCAGTGATTGAACCTCCTCTTGAATAGTGGCAGTTTGACAGTGCCTTTCTTCTGAGTCAAGGATTTTCGGCAGCTCACGAGAAATGAAAAAAAACACATTACATAGCAACTTGTTAATAGATGCAGCAAAAACAATGCAAGCACTGGTGTATGTGTGCTGAGTGATGGTTGCTTAAATCTTGTGTGGGGATGGGGGGGAACCTAATTTTTCAATGACTTCAATTACGTGTATATGACACAATGGTGTATGTGTGTTGAGTGATGGTTGCTTAATTCTTGTGTGGGGATGGGGGTGGAAACCTATTTTTTCAATTACTCAGTATATTACTTCCTATCTATAGATGCAGCATTTGAAAAACTCAGAATGGCAAAACGTAACAGGTATCACCGAATTCCTTCTCCTTGGATTTAGGAACGTTGAAAATGTGAATATACTCCTCTTTTTGTTATTTCTAGTCATCTATATTGTGACTCTGTCTGGTAATCTCCTCATAGTTGCACTTGTC